CAAACTGACGCAGTTGCTGACGCCTCTCCCGTTATCTGTGTACCCGCAATCTCTTCCGGGCCTCACTGGCTCCACCCAAGTTTCTCATGGGCTGGCCACGCCTGTCACCTCTGGGAGGGCCAAGTTGAGGATCTACCTCTTCCAAAAAGCCTTTTCCCCCCCACCCCCAAGCCACGGTGCAGCTTTCCTAGGGTCTCTCCCCAGGTATAGGTTTGCCTCCCTCCCCAGCAGGAGTCAATGCTCAAATGGCTCAGGATCATGCCCAGCATCCCCACCACAGCCAGGAAGACCATCAGCCGGAAAAGCAGGTCTGCCTCTATGCTCGGGACCAGGCCTTACCCCAGGAGGACCAGCCTCCTCTTGTCCTTGCTGCATGCGCTTCACTGAGCAGGCCTTCAACTCGGGCTCCCCCAACACCTCCCCGCCCTCCCATACTTCTCACTCCTTTCCTTCCCTCTCAGTTCAAATCCAACTCCTTCCCAGGTGCAGCACTGATCTCTTGGCTCCTCACCCCCTCAGCTGTCACTCACTAACCTTTTTCCATCTCCTTTTCTTCTTCTCCCCATGGCCTGGGAACACACTCAGGTCTCCCTCATTCTAAGAAAGTCAAGAACATCCCTGCCTTGTCTCCTTCCGAACTACAGCCCTGCCTTGTCCCTTCCTGTCCCACCATACGATTCCTGCACTTGCAGCCTCTGCCTCCACCACCACCTCATTCCTCACCTCCTCCCCCCTTGCCCCCAGCATCTCACCCAGGGGTCCCCACTCTCTCAGCTGTCACATCTGCAGTCTCTATTCAGTCTTCCATCCAGTCAGCCTCGACCATGCACCATACTGCCGATTCCAAACCCACTGCCATCAAGTCTGTTCCGACTCATAGCGACTCTATAGGACACAGCAGAACTGCCCCCATAGGGTTTCCAAGGCTGTAAATCTTAACGGATGCAGACTGCCGCATCTTGCTTCCCCAGAGTCGCTGGTGGGTTCGAACCACCAACCTTTCGGTTAGCAGCCAAGTGCTTTAACCACTGTGCCACCAGGGCTCCCCATACTGCTGATTAAAAACACAAAAACCTATTGCCTTCGAGTCAATTCTGACTCACAGCGACCCTGTAGGACAGAGTAGAACTGCCCCATAGGGTCCCCAAGGAGCAGCTGGTGGATTCGAACTGCCAACCTTTGGATTAGCAGCCTGAGCTCTTAACCACTGTGCCACCAAGGCTCCATACTGCTGAATACTACTTCTAAAATCTCTCCCTTGGCTTCTGATACACTTTCCTCTTCTGGCTTTCTTTCTTTTTTTTTTTTTGAGGGGAAATATCAATTAGAAGTTTATTTGGTTATAAAATTATGCACATTGATTATCAACCTTAAATTATATTTGCTTACCCACAAAGCTTGGAAGAAACTGGCTCATTACAGATTTAAAAGCATTTCTTGCTGACATCCCAAGGAGTCTGCGATGAAAGTATTACAAGGATCTCTTTGAAATTCAAAGAAACTAAAGAACATGGTACAAACACTTTTTGTTCTCTGGTGCAGAAAGGAATAGCATTTTTTTTTTTAGCACTCCTCCCCAGCCACATTTATTTGGAGGAGACAATGCAAAAGAGTACTACTGGTGGTGGAAGAATGGAATTGTTTAGACTGATTTTGTCTTGGAGCATATAAGGCAGTGTTCACTGAGGAAAAAAAAAAACATTCCAGGCTCGGACAGTTGCCTGCACCTCGTTGGTGGGCCGCTGGTAAACCTCTGTAGTAGGGGAAATAATTTTGGACTGTTAATATTTGCAATTTGTTAAAAACAGCCTGGCCGCATCCATTCATTAGGAGTAAGGCAATGCTTTTAGTTCCTGGCAAAATTTGTTTCTCTGCTGGAATAATACAAAGGCCATGCATGGGACAGAAAGTTCCAAATCATGCATTTCTAGCAGCACATTAGAGCAGAAAGATTTAACTTCAGACTTACACTTGAAAACTGCAGCACAGTTTGATGGTCCTTCGGTGACATAAAAAGTCAGACACATGGGCAACTAACTCGTAAAGACGTGTGTTTTATTTCCTTGCAGTGACTTTGAAATCTTGCAAGACCTATGGAAAGGGAGCATCTTGCTGACTCCAAACTATGTCAGTCTTGCATGAGGGCCCACACAATACTTGAATCGTAGAGAACAAATTGCTGGGTATCAGGAATGAAACTGCAGCTTTCTTTGCTGCTCTGGAGCAGGTGGATCAATTACAAGAGGAAAACTTTGCATGTTCCTTTAGACGTAAAGGGTTTATTGAAGAACACCATGGTATGGCACATTTTTCCACTGGCCACCCACATTGTTACTCTGACATTCTGTTGCCTATAAAAAGCCTGTTTTTCTTTCAGATGAAATGATTTGCAGGTTGACTTCTCACATTTATGCCTAATTCCTCCCTAACCTTTATTTGTTAACCATTTGCCATGGAGTCGACTCCAACTCATTGCGACCCCCTATGTGTCAGAGCAGAACTGTACTCCATAGGCTCCTCAAAGGCTGATTTTTCAGAAGGAGATTGCCAGGGCTTTCTTCTGAGGCACCTCTGGGCAGCCCTGAACCCCTAAGCCTTCAGTTGGAATTTTACATGTTATCTTTGTCTTTTTCTATATGCCACTGCCGTTTTTTTTTACATGGTTGTAAATGTACATATAATTTTATATTCTGCTTTTTATTATAGCAAATGTTTTTAATTAAATGCACTTTATAATGTCTACAATGACTTAACTAAACTTGAGGTGAAGGGCACAGTCCTCCAGACTGCCGAGTCTGCCCACTTCAGGCACCAGCTGCAAATTCAGGAGTCCACAGGCCCATCCTCACTTCTGTCCAGCTGGCTGCCAATTTGGGGGCCCCCATGGACTCTCTCAGGTTCAATAAATTGCTAGGATGACTCACTGAATCCTGGACAGTGCTGTACTTAAACAATTACAGTTTTATTATAGCAAAAGTATACAAATCAGAATCGGCCTAAGAGACGCATGGAGTGGAATCTGGGAATGGGAGAGTTCTAAAGGCGAACCTTCTGTGTTCTTAGGGATGCATTACTTCCAGCGTCGATATGTGGCAGTACATGAAAGGAGTATTGCCAACCCAGGAAGCTCACCTGAGCTTGGTGTCCAGAGTTTTACTGGAGTTTTATCATGTATAAATCAACGTGCATATTGTTGAACTCAGTCTCTAGTCCCCTCCTCTCCCCTGGAGGTTGAGCTGACATCACATAGCTCAAAGTCCCAACCTCTAATCACACAGTTGGTCTTTCTGGTGTGGCCAGCCCCCATCCTGACTCATCTCCTTATCATAAACTGTCTAGGGGCCCACCATGAGTTCTTCTGGCTCTCTTAATTAATGAAAGAGTTAGTTCATAAACTAACTAATATTTGCTGCATTATATGTGTTACTCAGTTTTAATCCTCAGGACAACCCCAGGAGGTAGGGACCATAACTGCCCCTCCATGTGAGGCTCCAGCCAGAGCTCGCCCAGCTAGGACTGTGGAGCCCATCAGAGCTCCACCCTGGCCCTCTGTTCTTCTCTCACTGTTCTCCCCCCTCCTAAAGCTTCATCTCCAGCCTCTGACTTCAGCTCAGACACGTCCTGAGCTTTGGGCCACCATCTCCTGTCTCCTGGGCCTCTCATACTGGACATCTTCCTCTCCTCATCCCACAGCCATCCAAGCTGGGATGCTGCCACCCCCACAGTGCCTCATGTCTCCATGCCCATGGCCACAGGCCTGACCTGTTTCAGGCCCCCAGCACTTCTACTGTGAACACTGCAGTGGCTTCTTTACTGGCTTCCCAGCCTCCATACCTTCATACCATGCCTCTCAGCCTACCCCAGGAGCTTTTTAAAATTCACATCTGACCCTTCAGGAGCTCTGTGTGGTCTTTAGGACACGCCCAGCCTGTTCAGCAGACACACAGGGGCCTTCATGGGCAGCCCCATTGCCTTCTCCAGCCTGAGCATCACTCCAATTTCCAAGCACATGCACTTCCTCCAGGCCTTTGCCTGAGCAGTTCCCCCAGCATGGACCATGCCTGCAGCCACCTAAAATACTTCCAGGCCCTGGTGGTGCAGTGATTAAAGTGATCACTGCTAAAGGTCAGCAGTTCAAAACCATCAGTAGCTGCACGGGAGAAAGATGTGACAGTCTGCTTCTGTAAAGATTTACAGCCTTGGAAACCCTATGGGGTCACTATTAGTCAGAATCGACTCCATGGCAGTGGGTTAGGTTTTTGTTTTAGTAGGAATTAATATTCTCCTTGAGTGGTTAAGCATTCGGCTGCTAACCAAAAGGTTGGCAGTTCGAATCCACCAGTAGCTCCTTGGAAACTCTATGGGGCAGTTCTACTCCGTCCTATCGGGTCGCTTTGAGTCGGAATCTACTCGACGCAACGGGTTTGGGTTTTTTTGTTTGTTATTTTGCCAGTTTCGGTCCAAGTTCTTTGGGACCCCTTTGCCCTGGCTTTACCCAGTCTCTATTCTTTCTGTCTTTTCCTCAGGTCCCATGAAGCTCAGCACCAGACATGGAGGGGCTAGGTCAAGGTTTGCTGACTGACTACCCAAGCTTCCAGAGGTGAGCTGTGATTGGACAACACCCCACGAGGAGGAGCCCCTTCCCTACACCCAAGACCACTCCTCAAAGCCCTCATCTCCTCACCCCGCAACGCCCCGGGCTCCTGACACAGTCTGATCCTCGCCCGTCTCCTGGTTAATCGGGGCCTCAGTTTCCCCATATGTAGAACGGAGTTTGTGGACGCAGTCCCTATCCCAGTCCTTACCTGCGGAGGGAGCTGCCAGGGCGGGTCACCACCGCGCTGCCGCTCGCAGATTAGACACGTCCGGATGCCCTTGCAGCCACATTCTTGAAGGACCTCTGGTGCCTCTGCCACCGTCGCCGCCGCCATAGCCCCGCCCAGGCAGTCAGGGCGCAGGCGTGGGGCCGCGTGGGCCGCTGGGAGTTGTAGTCCGCACCGCAGGGCACGAAGTCCGGGGGCCCTCTTCCTTCCGGTCTTCTCCACAGAAGGGCTCGCGAGGCGCTGCCTTCTGGGTTTGGCCACCCGCAGGCGCCAGTTCCCGGCTCCGCGAACCGTGGGGAAGCCGTTAGTGGCGGCACGGGCCACGCCTTCTAGCGCCATGAGCCCCCTCTCAACGCGGTTGCTGATACAGCGGGGCCGGCCCAAGAGCGACCGGCTTGGGAAGATCCGCAGCTTGGAGTAAGGGCAGGGCCGGGGACGAGGTTGTGTCCGCGGGGCCGGGACCACCCAGCCCGCCACCCATCCTGTCTGGGCTGCCCGCGCCTGGGTCGCCAGGGGTCGGGAAGAAAGGCTGGGGCCCTCCCCCACTCCCTGCCCATCCCCGTTAGTGCCCCTTCGGTTAGCTATCGCCCCATCGCCAGGCGCCTTGCTGTAGTTATGTATGACACGGGACCGGGCCGCTACCCCACCCGTGTGCCCGCTGGGCCCCGAGTGGCCTTACCCCTGAAGAGTGCCCCGAGATAGACTGGCAGAAAGACAGTGTTGAGATAATTAGGGAGAGCGTGGGGAGCACAGAGGAGCCCCCAGAGGATCAGGAAAAGCATTCTGGAGGGGGCCATGCTCAGCTGAGCCCTGAAGTATTGTGAAATTAAAAAAAAAAAAGGAGGTGGGTGGCGAGAGAAGGGACTGTGCTGTCCCAGAAATGTAAGGGGAGAAAGCTTTCTCAGGCAGGGGGCAGCCTGAGGTGTGGGGTGGGAGGCTTGTCCATCCCTGCCTGCCCTCTGAGCCTTCTGTGTCAACCTCAGCCTGTCAGGGCTGAAGCTGCGCTCGGAGCACTTGGACCCCAAGCTCCTGGGCCGCCTAAGGCAGCTGCAAGAGCTGGACCTGTCCAACAACCAACTGGACACGCTGCCCGCCAACCTAGGCCTGTCCCACCTGCGCATCCTCCGCTGTGCCAACAACCAGCTGGGGGATGTTACTTTCTTGTGCCAGTTCCCACAGCTCGAGGAGCTCAGCCTGGAGGGCAACCCCTTTCTGACGGTGAGTGCCCCGCACCACTGGCCCCATGCCCAGTTAGGACTCCGTTGGGCTCAGATGGGCATCCTCTGAGCCCTGGTTCCCTTATCCCCCAGGTCAGTGACAACCTGAAAGTCTCCTTTCTCCTGCCTAAGCTCCGTAAGGTCAATGGCAAGGAGGCTTCCTCAACTTCCTCTCAGGTGGAGAACCTGAACCGGGAGCTGACCAGCAGGGTAAGGGCGGTGTCCTGGTAAGCAGTAGGAAGCCTTGAGGAAGGGGTGCAGAATTAGACGTTTGAAGGACACTGCCCAGACACAAAGTGGTCCTTATGTCCCTTAGGCTGACACGTTACTCTAAACCTAGCCTGAGCGGGGTGCTGCCGCTCCTCTGAAGTCAGATACTTGGGCTCTTGTCCTTGGAGGCCCTGCCCTCCAGGTTTGCAGGCAGGGCCGAGCAGGAGAGGCTGGGTGACCTTCACGGTATTTTCAAAGTATCTTGCCAGGCTTGACCCTGGGTCAGTTCTTCCCCTTCTGGGGCTGTTTCTGATATGTGCATATTGCTTAGGTTTGTGCAGATAAGAAGGACGTGGTTCAGAGAGGCTTCCAGGAGGTGATGAGGTTGAGACACTTGTGGCCATGATGAGTTTGGGAGCGGTGGTATCTCAGGAGGGCCCAGGAGAGCTGGGGTGGATTGGACCTGGATCTGGTCCCTCTTGTACCAGGTCACCGCTCACTGGGAGAAGTTCATGGCTGCCCTGGGCCCCAAGGAGGAGGCTGAGAAGGCCCAGGCAGACTTTGTGAGGTCTGCCGTCAGGGATGTTCGCTACGGGCCCGAGTCCCTCAGCGAGTTCACCCAGTGGCGGGTATGTCCTCACTGCATCATTCAGGAAGTTGGCTCTCTCAGTTCCTCGCTGGCTCCTGTGGCCTGCAGCTGCCCTGGGGGGTCTCTGGTCTGTGAGGGTTGAGGGGTTATAAGGAGGGGGTGTCATAAAAGGCCCTTCCCCAACTCCAGAAGCACAGGCATCTGGGGAGGGGCTGGGGGCGCTCAGGACTGTGCCCAGCTTCCGGATTGCCTGGCCCCACCCAGGTGCGGATGATCTCTGAGGAGCTGGTGGCCTCCGGTGGGACCCAGGTGCCTAAGGCAGACAACCCAGAGAGGCCTGTGGAAGCTGCAGCTCCCCACGAGCCCAGGGTAAGTATGAGTATGGTTCCTTGTGGCTCCCCAGTGCTCCGTGTGCCTGCTGCCTCCATCCTGCCTGCCTAGGGCAGCCTTGGGGGAGTTGGGGGTCCTGGAAATGAGCCCAAGTGACAAGGGAGTATGGTCCAGCCTGTGATGGGGAGGAGGGAAGCCCCAGGCAGATGGGCCCATGGTCACAAGGCCCTCGGCCTACCTCTGCCCCCTCCACAGACCAGGCTGGCAGCCTTGAAACGGCCAGATGATGCCCCACTCAACCTCTCTCCCAACAAGCGGGTGTGTACCTCCCCATCAGCGCAGGTGGAGGGCAGCCCCATGGGCTCTGATGGCAGCCAGGTAAGCTGGCAAATGGCAGAGAGCAGGTGATGGGGTGAGCAGGGCCTGTGGCAGCCATGACCCCTCTGTCCCCACAGGCTGGCCTGAAGCTGGAGCCCCTGCACTTCCTGCAGTGCCACAGCAAGAACAACAGCCCTCGGGACCTCGAGACCCAGCTGTGGGCCTGCGCCTTTGAGCCGACCGGGGAGGAGGGTACATCCTTGATGGGCAGGTCACAGGAAATAAGAGTAGGCAGGCTTTCTGGGTGGGGGGTGCGGGGGTGCTCCCTGGAGGGACTGCCTTGGCATACTAGGGAGTTGGGAGGGTCAGAGAGCTTAGAAAGCATCATCACAGCTGGGAGGAGGGAGCCACAGGGGAGAACTTTAACAAAAATGTTTTCACTAGACTGACCCCTTCCACACAGGGCACTCAGGGGCCACGTCCCAGACCGTGGCTACTTGCGGCGGGGAGGCCGTCTGTGTGATCGACTGCCAGACAGGCATCGTGCTCCACAAGTACAAGGTGCCTGGCGAGGTGAGTGCCAGAGCCCTGTCCTGCAGGGTGGCCTGCAGAGCTCTGGGATGGGAGGTCCAGACTCAGTCACCTCCTCACCATGGGGCATTTTTTTTATGAAGGGCCTCTATCCCCAGGCTCAGTCCGGCATGCTTGTTCATCCATGTAGCTCAACACCCTCGGTGACTGCTTCCTCTACTCCACCTCCCCCAGGAGTTCTTCTCAGTGGCCTGGACAGCTGTGACGGTCGTCACACAAGCAGGCCACAAGAAGCGCTGGAGCGTGCTGGCAGCTGCAGGCCTGCGGGGCCTGGTGCGGCTGCTGCACGTGCGTGCCGGCTTCTGCTGCGGAGCCATCCGGGCCCACAAGAAGGCCATCGCCACCCTGTGCTTCAGCCCTACCCACGAGACCCACCTCTTCAGTAAGACTCCCTCTTCTTATCCCCAGTGCTCCCCCAGCACCCCTGTCCTGTACCCCAGCGCCCCCTGGGAGGGTAGGTGCCCATCTGACTGACGGGGCTCACTGGGTTAGCCGTGTTCAGCCCTGGTTTTGGTAGGAAGTGACATGGGCTTCGTGGTCAACTGACTAGGCTTCAAGTCCCGGCTTGACTCCCAGCCTGCTCCGTGGCCTTGGAGTTTTTCGGCAACGTGGGCCGCTTTGTTCCCGTCTGTCGTGGGTTGACACCTCTCGCCCTCCAGTGTGATGAGCAGAGGCCTGGCAAAAGATGGCTGCCTGGTGCTGGCGTCTTAGGTTAGAGCAATAAGATAGGGACAGGAGGCCCTGAGCCTGCCTGGTCTCCTAGCCATGTCCCTCCCTCCCTGCCTCAGAGGGGCTGCTGGCCTGGGTACCACTGTCTCAGCCTGGGACTGTCTGTAGGCAGGAAAAGGGTCTCCTCAGGGCCACCTGTCCCCTTCCCCACCCCCTCCTCAGCGGCCTCCTATGACAAGCGGATCATCCTCTGGGACATTGGGATACCCAACCACGATTACGAATTCCAGGCCAGGTAATGCTTTGGGGTAGGGCTGGGGAGGGGCCCGCTGCTAGGGTGGGAGGACAGAGGGCTCACAGGCTCCTGCTCTCCCTCTCGCCCTACCTGGCAGCCAGCTCCTTATGCTTGACACCACCTCCATCCCATTGCGTCTCTGCCCTGTGGCCTCCTGCCCAGATGCCTACCTTCTGGCTGGCTGCGAGAGTGGCTGCTGCTGCTGGGATGTGCGGCTGGACCAGCCCCAGAAAAGGAGGTGAGGCAGGCGGGGATGCCCTGGAAGGCAAGCCTCAGAGCTGGGCACCCTGCCAGGAGTAGAGCCCAAACCACCCAACGCCACAGGGCTGGTCTGTCCCCACCTAGAGGAAAGGGCCCTGCAGCCCCTTCCTCACCCTGGTGTTCAGCTGTGGGGCTGGTCTGGGTCAGTCCTCTCTAGGCTGTGATGGCATCACCTTTAACCTGGGGCTTCACTGCAGCCGTGACAGCCAGGCCCTGTTCTAGCTTAAATGTCGTCATCTGTGAAGTGGGGACGAGGGCAAGTGTGAAGGGGTCTGGACACGGGTGAGGCTGTTGAAATGCCAAGTTGAGGGTGATCTGCACCACCTGGGAGGTCCCTGATACAGTGCTTGGCATGGGGTCCCTGATACAGTGCTTGGCACGGGGTCCCTGCCTGCGTGGGACCTGCAGCCTAGTCAGGAGACAGGCGTTAAACAAAGTCGGCCAGGTGAGAAGCCCACAAAGTGTGATGTGAGCAATGGAGGACAGAGAATGTAGTGTTCTGAGAGTGATGGGGAGGCCTGCTCTAGATGGGGGGCCCATGGGGACTCTGCTGAGGGGACCAGCAGGCAGACCGGGACGTGCTTAGGCACCTGCTCTCCTCCATGTGAGACCTACGAGGAAGTCAGCCAGCAGAAGAGGGAAGTGTGAGCACAGGGCATGTGGGTGGGGAGAGCTTGGCTGTCCTGTTTGGCCTTGTTTGGCCATGGCTTCGCAAAGCCAGTGGATGTGGCCCAAGGTGAGGTGGTGAAGGTGCCTGGGGACAGGGCCCGCTGGGCTTTGTTGGCTGTGGTCAGAAGTTTGAATTAAGCCCGGGAGGGTTGTTGGGCGGGTGGCAGGAGTGAAGTAGCTGCTGTGTGGAGGAGGAGTGGAGACCCACCTAGTGGTGGTGGTGACTTCTCTTCCCTCACTGAACAGCCCCACGCCACTCCTAGGAGTTACCCTGGGCCTGCTTCCTCCCTCCCTGTCCCCCCAGTCCCCAGGTCCTGTGGCGTTTCTCTCCATCTGCCAGGTGTGCCTGCTTCTGCTCACCCCCTGCACTACTGCCTCAGTATAGGTCCGGCTCACAGTTGTGCTTAGCTGGCCTCTCCAGGACTCTGAGCAGCTGCTGGTGGCCTTCCCAAGCACAGATGTGGCCACAGCACTTTCTGCTTTAAAACCTTAAGCAGCTGCTCCTCACTGTCCTCAGGGTCAGAGCAAGTGCCCCTTTCGGGAATTCCAGGCCCCAGCCAGTGTACCCAGCATTCCCCTTCTCCAGCCCCCAGCTTCCTGTGGAAGTGCCTGTCCCACTTGGCAGCTGGTGAACCCAGCTCATGTCACACGCAGGCCTAGAGGTGCTGCCTCTCTCGGGAACGTTTCCTGACCACCAGCCCCATCCTGGAAGCAGCAGCCCCTCGTACTTCTGGCTTCCGCTACCTTGTGACACTGAAGCACACTCGGGTGCTAGCTCACCTCCAGGGCAAAGCCGACCCCTCCAGGGCCAGGGACTTAACCTGCTTTGTTGCCCCTCTGACCTTCACACAGGGCATGGCCCCGAGCAGGTGTCCAGCAGACATGTGAGTGAATGGAAAGTTTTTTGTACGTGCAAGGAATCCCCAACCCAGTATGTTCTGCTGCCCCACAGGGTATGTGAAGTAGAGTTCACCTTCTCCGAGGGCTCGGAGGCATCTGGGCAGAGAGTGGACGGGCTGGCGTTTGTGAATGAGGATGTTGTGGGTGAGCAAAGCCAGCCTCCTTCGTGAGTCACCCCTCCCTGGGCTGGGGTTTAGGTCAAGGGCTGCTGGGGAGCCCCCAGTGTGGAACAGGAAGTGTCTTGTGCGGGGCCCATCCAGGCAGTTCTGGGTTCTCCCCTACAGCCTCCAAGGGGAGTGGCCTGGGCACCATTTGCCTGTGGAGCTGGAGACAGACATGGGCAGGCCGGGGCAGCCAGGCCACAGTGGCAGTGGTTGTCCTGGCTCGGCTGCAGTGGTCACCCACCGAGTTGGCCTATTTCTCTCTCAGCACCTGTCCCGGTAAGCCACCCTACCCTGCCCCACCCTCCGCCTCCTGGCGCTCTGACCCACCACCACCCCAGCTTAGGCATCAGTCTGTCCTGGCAGGTGAGGGGATCGTGCTCTGTGGGGATGAGGAGGGCAACGTGTGGATCTACAACGTCTGGCATCTCCTAAGTCAGAAGTCCCCGCTACCAGCAGCCCCGCAGGCCCCTGCACAGGTACTGCACAGCTCACCCCCCCACCTGTGCTTGGGGCTGGCACAGCAGCAGGGGCCTGGCCTCTGGGAAGCCAGCAGCCCAGCCCCTCTCTGCCTTTTCCCTACCAGATCCTCAAGTGGCCCCAGCCATGGGCCCTCGATCAGACGGTGACCAAGACCATGGTGAACACAGTGGTGGCCAACCCCACCTTTACCTACCTCACTGCTCTGACGGACTCCAACATTGTTGCCATCTGGAAGAGGCAGTAGCTGCCAGCAGGGTGGGGAGGAGCTCTGCCTCTTTCACAGACTACCAGGGACACCACCTGCTCAGTTTTGGGGCTAATGACGGGGGGCTTTTTGTCAGTGAGTTATTTTTTATTAAACTCTACTATCAAAGAGAAGCTTGTGGAGTGCTGTTCGCAGCTCTGTGGGCCCTACTGTGTGTTCCTGGGGGCACCGAGGTTCTAGAGCAGAGCCTTGTGGAGGTACACGTGTCCTCAGTCCGCTTCTGCTGTGAGACTGCCCCTCCCCAGCAGCCCCCCAGGTTCCAACTTTTTGGTCCAGAATGAGTTTGTTTCTGCCAACCTCTCAGACAGAAGCTAGGGTCTGCGTCCTGGCTCTCTGGGCCAACCCAGCCATTGAAGTGTGGCCCCTGCGTGGCTTTGAAACAAACAGGTGATGCAGGTGACCTCCATTAAGCCTGAGACCATTTGCTTGTGAAGTCACCTTCACTTAAGACAGTGAGGCTCAGCCAACACCAGCCCACAACTAGGTCTCTTTTTGCTATACTTTGTTAGGAATATAAGAACCTATGTACAGGAGACTAAGTGTCAGGGGCGAGGGGCTCATGCGCTGTCTCTACAAGGAGGGTCACAGCTGAGACAAGCCTCTCCTCTGCTTGGTACTCAGAAGTGTCCAGGGTAGGGGAGGAGCTGGACTCCCAGCTGAGCAAGGTTCCTTCCCATCCACTATTCAATTCCTTCTTGCTTGTCTTTGATGGCCACCTGGGGGAAAGGAAGAAGGTAGCGCAGTTAGCTAGAATGGCTGGGGGTGATGACCTCGGAAATGAAACCCCAGCATCCTGACCAAGGTTTGTCAGGAAACTGCTTTCACAGCCCTTCTCACCACAGAGTTGCGCCCACAGGGCCATACTGCACAGCAGAGAACTGTACCAGGTCAGCAAACCAGGGCCCCAAACAGCACCAGGGTGCTGGGCAGCCAGGAACCAAAGGCACCCTCAGAGCTGGCCCCGCCCATCCCATGTCCAGCTGCCTAAGTCAGAGTCAGGTGGAACACAGGTACATCCTGGATGGGCTTTTGACTTAGATGTTGAAAATCTGACTAGCTATGGCCCTTCCCCCCTCTAAATTGTGCCTAGACTGAGGTCCCCTGCCATGAACAGCTGTGGCCACCACCCATTTGGCCTCCTGACCTTGGGAATCCACCCTAGGCTGAGCTGCCGCCTAGACAGACCAATGCTCTGCAAGCAGCAGGCCTTATAAACCAGAGAAGAGACTTGAAGAACAGCTCCACAGGGTGGCAGGCCCCTTGCTTCCACGAGCCACAAGAGTGCACAAGGAGGCAGGCCCTGGAGCATCAGGTGAGGTCCCCACTTAGGGGTGCAGGCAGCAGGCTGCAGGCCTCTGCTCTATAACCCCTTAGTCCAAGCTTCCTGGAGGCTGCTGTGGAACCCCTGCTTTGTCACCACCATCACACCTCTCCCCAAAGTCAGAAGAATTGACCCAGAGGCCGTCCTAGGTGTGAGCAACAGTTCCGAGGGGTTGAGAATGCTGTAGCACTGGGCACACTGACTGGCAGCCAGCCTCTAGTGCCACCCCAGCTGTCCCCCAGGACCTCACCCGGAAGCGCTCTTCCAGCAGGGAAAGCTCGCTGATGAGGTCTGTGATGGCATTGGTAAAGGCTTCCTGAGGGCTGTAGTCGGGTGTGGTCTGCACTCGGATGATGATCTTGTGCTCCAAGGGGTGGGGGACTTTGTAGCCAGCAAACAGCACCTGAGGGTCCTTCAACAGCTGTCTGAAACACAGGGGTGGGAGGTATGGGGAGGTGTGCCCAAGCCAGGCCGAGGCTGCCCCCACCTCACGGCTCACCAGGCTGTCCAGCAAGAAGTCCACCTGTTAGGCTGAGGCCTGTTAGCAAACGCCTTTAGAGACCGACCCCAAGGGTCCCCTGCTTGATTTGTAGTTTAGTTTTCCCAAAAATCTTCAAGTAAAACAGATGTTTTGTAGAAGATAAACCATGTGAGGACCCCCACCCCCCAATCCACGAGGATCAAGGAGTCTAGCTGGGGAAACAGGGCTGCTAGAAACTTCCTCCCTCAGGGGAAGTCAGGGACCCTGCAATGCCCCTTAAGGGGCCCCCCAAAACGGTAAACACCAGTCACATCCCTGACCACCTGGCCAGGACATCACTGGTGTAAACAAACGCCCACCGACCAGCAGGTGTCCACCAGCAGTACGAGATAACCACAGAATGCCTCACTTCCCTTGTTCCACCGACGTTACACTCTCTGCCACACACATTGTAGAATGCCAGGTGTGACAGGTCACTGAAGGCATTGTGACAAAAAAGGGTGAGGGGGACTGCTGCTTGATGTTATCAGCACAAAAGCACAAGTGGGCATTTCCCACTCTTCCAGGTGAATTGTGTGGCTTTTGTCAGATCAATCAGCCCACATAAAAACGTGGCTTGTGAACACACGGGTCAGTGTCATTCTGAAAAAAAGGTGCTGGAATTGTGAAACGCAACAGGCAAGCACCCAGAGGGACTTCCTGTCCCTTTCTCTCAGCCAGCTTAAGAATGTCTTAAGAAACCTGTGCTTTGCCCAAAGAGCCCCATTAAATACAGCCCTTGAGAGCCTTTGACCTGGAACTTACGATTTAATAATGTTTCCCAGTGTGTGGTCTTCTTTGTTGATGGTGAACAAGCAGGCATTGGGCACCTTGGTGTCCTTGTTAATGGTGATCCTAGAAAGAGGCAGAGGCAGCACATGAGGGGCAGGGGCTCTCCCTCCTCCTCTCCCCAAGTTTAAAACCTGTCCTTCAAGGCAGGCTCAAGTCCCTCCTCCTGGAAGCCTTCCTGGGTCTGTTCATCCCATAAAGACCTCTCTGACTCAGAGCAGCATTGTGTCTATACCGTGACCCCAGCTACATCCTGGCTGTTGGGACCCCTGCCCCTCTGGATTGCTGCTTTTTTCTAAAGCAGGGTTTCTCACCTTGCTGCACTGACATTTTGGGCTGGATAACTCTGTTGGAGAAGACATTAGCAGCATCTCTGGCCTCTAGGCAGTAGATCCAGTAGTAACCTCCCTTGTGACAAACCAAAAAGTTCCCAGACGTTGCCAAATGTCCCCTGGGGAGCAAAATGGCCCCCAGTTGAGAACTACTGCTCTAAAGGGAGGCTGGCAAGGGCCAGACCACTGAGAGTCCTGGATACCAGATTTTTAAGGGTAAGAAGAGTCATTGTTTAATGGCGGTCTTCTATGTGCTGAGCTCTGGGCTAGGCACTTTACATACTTTAAATTACTTAATCTTTCCTGAGAGAAAATTCTATGATTAAATATAGCAAGAAGTCCATTTTACAGAAGAGAAGAACTGGGCCTCAGATAAGTCACTTGTCCACAGACAGAGAGTCGGTAATTGGGGGATCCAGGAACCAAGCCTGGGCTGTTTGACCATTAGACTACATTTGCCCCACCTGCGGGCAGTGAGGAATCACTGAAGGTTTTACATGGGTGAGTGATAGATGGGATATGAATTGCAGAGCCATCACTCTGGCTGCAGCAAGAAGGATGGAGGTGGCAGTCGGAAAGACGAGTTGAGAGTGCTGCCAGATCCTAGAGGAATAGGACTTTTGGGCCAGAAAACAGGCCCCGATACTTCCTGTATTCGGGAAAAGTTACTCATCCTCGCTGAGCCTCAGTCTTCTCTTCTGCAAAATGGGTAGCCGCACCACTGCCTCAAATTTGGCAGACACAGGCTTCGCCCCAGAATCTGCAGGACCCGAAGGCCGAGGAGCGCGCAAGCCTCGGCCAGGCCCTGCCCCGCACCGCCGGCTCCACTTACTTCTTCTCGCCCTCGAAGAGCAGGAATGACTCGAAGGCGGGAGGGGCGTTCATCCTAAAGCCACAGCCGCAGCCACCTCCAAACCCCTGTAAAATGCGACCGCTCCCAAGTTAGCGTCTGCTTCCAGGTTATGTCGGCGGCGCCAAACCCGCGCGAGGAGTCGGACCGACTCATCGCCCCCTATCGGACTGGAGGATCTTGCGCCGACGCAAGAGTTGCCGGCGCGGGGGACTGAGGCCGGCTGGTCCGTCTGCGCATGCGTTAGCCTGGAAGGTCTAGTTGGCCGGTTCACAGGTGGGCGCGCTGGGGCGAGTGCTCGGGTGCCTAGGGGCTGCTCTTACTGAAACAGCCTCGTCGAGGCGAAGCTGGAACCTCCAAGCTGTAACCCCTTCCCGCCCGCCTACTTCTTGATCCCTGTATGGAAATGTGTCCTTGGAGTACACAGCAAGAGACGTTTGAGTGGAGAATGGGGTAATAATGCCCACGGGTAGTGGGCGGGTGTGGCCAGCAGCAAGTAGGGGGGGAGACTGAAGGAGCCCCATGGGCATCCATCCTTTGAGCCAGACGGTTGTGTATGGATGAGCCCCCTGTCAAGGCTACCTGGGCAGACTGGTAAAAGACCCCTGGCTAGGTTGTCACTGGCTTATGAAGTTTGGACTTAGTGAGCTGCTTGTTAGCAGGGACATTTGGGTGAGGGCTGGGAGTTGGCTGGGGCAGTGTATACAGGCATGAGAGAGGAGCTCAGTGGGATAATTGTATCATACCCGGTTTTGATTCGTTGGTCTTTTGCAGACTACAGTCCAGTATGAAGGCCCAGCCTGAGTTGTTTGAAACATTCTGAAGTCGCAGATTAGCTGCTGGAATCCTAACAGCTTCACTGTTTGTCCATGGCAGGGCAGCAGCCACTGAGCCCCAAGGAAATCTGGAGTTTCCACCACCACTCTTTCTAGGAAGAGCCATTCCCTGCTTGAACCCTTGAGCCATGGAGTGGGAAATGTCACTCCCCTGGAGGCCCACACAGAACCTTGATCCTCCAGGATCAGGTGGGTGGGGCCTCTGTCACCGGTGAGGAATTGAGGGCAACAAGGGTAATGATTCTCTGAGGTGGTAACCCCTACCCCTTTGCGTCATCCTGGAAAAAACTGGTCCCAGGACGCTGTCATTGCCAGTACTGCAGGGGCCTGGAGGCGATGAGGCTAGCTGCATTACTGGGTGATGGGCAGGGTGCGAGGAGATTTTTACCCAGCAGGGGCTTCACCTCCCCACCCCGGTGGAAGTCTGTCCTCTCTTGGGGAGTGCTGATGACACTCACCCTTTGACTCCTTGACCATGAGATTCTGGGCTCCAGAAGTTGTCAACCCCCCAAAGTCTCCAGTGGCTCGATGTTGGGGTGCCCCAAGATGAGGCCAAGTGACCCTTCCCATCTTCTTATAAGACTAAGGGATAAGCCTGCCTGGCACCGTGTGCAGTTGAAATCCGGGCTCCTACTGTTGCAGAATAGGAGCCCTGGTGGTGCAGTGGTTAAAGCGCTTGACTGCTAACTGAAAGGTCAGCGATTTGAACCCACCAGCTATTCTGCAGGAGGAAGATGTGGCAGTCTGATTCCGTAAAGATTACAGCCTTGGAAACCCTATGGGGCAGTTCTACCCTCTCCTACAGGGTCACTATGAATCAGAATCAACTCCACAGCAGTGGTTTGGGTTTGTTTTTTCACTCTTGCAGCCCCTTTAAGGCCACGCCTCTCTTTCTCCTTTCACTCCCTGCATTAGGGCTCAGTAGACCCTAGGGTTCATATTTCCTGAGCATTAGGTCCTTGAATCCTGAGAAGATGCAAAAGGCATGAAAATTTTTGTGAGACCCTAAGGAAGTAGCCAGAGAATCAGGTGTTGGAGACGGTGAGGGGCAGGTAGCAGACTCAGCTACTCCTGGGGGTAGGGAGAAGTCCTGTCCTGCAAAAAGGCTCGGGATGCCCATAGGATGGTAGTATCAAGGTGCTAAGCTTTGGTGGGCTGCTTGGGATGGGGATGGGGGGCTGTGGCCAGGCAAAAAGGTGGACATGGCCCCAAAAGCCACGGAGTAGAGGGAAGGGGGCAGCTCTTTGTTCCTTCATGTCCCCTTTGCCTTTCTGTGTCATCCCTGGAAGAACCCAGAATGGAGTCTACCCCACTGGCCCTGTCCCAGAGCCTGGTTGGTCAGCCAATTCAGGGCTCCTGCCTGTAACCTGGGCCCCCGGAGGCTGTCTTAGGCCTAGGATTCGTGGGCCAGGCTCTGAGATACGCTGTCTTATTAATTATGTTGCAGTTTACCGTGTACCTAGAGATGGGCATGAGGGCAGTGATGTGAAGGCCAATGGGAGCTTTGCTTTGGCCCAGGGTGTGAATGTGTGTAAGCCAGCAGGGCCTGAACCCCCTCAGGACTGGGCTGTCCAGGTTCATAGTGCAGAGGTGCCTGGGAAGTTCCTTGCAATGTGGACCCTGGACCTCACTTGCTGGAGGTTTGCAGTCGATAGGTCTTTGGTAGTACCTGGGCACGTGCACTTTTAAAACTTTGTTATTAGGAAAATGTCAAAGATACACGAAGGTAGATTGTATAGTATAATAAGCCCCCATGTACCCATCACCCACTCCAATAATTTTCAACTCATGGCCGGTTCCCAACCCCTTCCCACCCACTTCCCACCCCCTGCCTTTCTAGATTATTTTGAGGTTAAATCTCAGCGTCCCATCATTTATCCATGAATATTTCAGTAAAAGATGTTGTTGTTGTTAGTTGCCATGGAGTTGGCTGTGCATCATGGCGACCCCACGAACAACAGAACAAAAACGTTGCCCAGTCCTGTGCCTTCTCCCTGATCGTTGGTATGCGCAAGTCCACTGCTGCGGCCACTGTGTATTTTGAGTGCCTTCCAACCTAGGGGGCTCATCTTCCAGCAGTACATTGGACAATATTCTGTTATGACCCACAGAGTTTTCACTGGCTAATTCTCAATAGATCACCAGTTCCTTCTTCCTAGTCTTAGTCTGGAAGCTCTGTTGAAACCTGTCCACTATGGATGACCCTGCTGGTATTTGAAATACCAATGGCATACCTTCCAGCATCATAGCAACAGGCAAGCCACCACAGTATGACAAACTGGCAGACGGGTGGTGGTTCTAAAAGATAAGGTTAAAAAAAAAAAAACCACATAACCACAGTATCTTATCACACCTCAACAAATTAACAATTCCTTAATATCATCATATAGTCAGCCAGTGTCCAAATTTCCGTCTCATAAAAGTGTCGTTTCTCAACATTTTGTTTTCATTACATGTGGTTGCTACATCTCTTAAATCTCTTCTAATTTAAGGGTCCCCCTTCCTCTTCACAATTGGAATGTGATTTTTAAACAGCCTATCCTAACTCTTAGCTAGATGCCGAGTTCAAAACCCAACTCCTCCATGTGTTCTAGCTGTGGGACCCCGGGTAGATGACCATCTTGCCTTGGTTTATTGGTAGCTGAGAAGTGAAGCTGATGATAGGATCGTGGGGAAGAGTGAATGGATGCAGGTTTGGGGTCAGAGCAGCGCCCACCCAAGGGCTGCTTGGTGAGTGTCAGCTGCTCTTGCTGAGTCTGAGGCCTTGGATGTCTCCCCACAGTATCCACTCTTGCGGCCGGTGAGCACTGGGCGAGGGTTGGGCAGCAGGGGTGGGGGGAAGGAGAAGGTCCGCAGCCCTGTCTGGTCTGCTGAGGCACAAAGGCCCTGCCCACCCGAGAAGCCTGGCTGCCCAAGGCAGCAGCATGTGGCACCTCCAGCAGGTCAGCCACAGGAGGTGGTACCACCCACAGCCTGGGCATTCAGCCACCCTAGGACCTCCCTTCAGCTGTGCAAGCCAATGGCCGTCACCACTGTCCCATGGAGGTGGGGACCCCTCTTGGGCAGGCTGCAGGGCTTGGTGGGAGGCCCTCTGAGAGGGTAGAGTTATGGGGCCTCAGAGGGGACTTACCAAGGAAAGGCAGCCAGGCTCCTGGGATGCTGGGACTCCACCCCCAGGGCCCTGGGAGGTGGGAGTGGATTCGCTTGGCTAACAGAACCAGCCTGGGATCTCTGGTGGTGAGACTTCAGACAAACCCCCTGGGGGCAGGAGTGGGCTGGGGCCAGGGGGGAACCCCCTGGAGTCTGGGGTCAGAGGGTGAAGGAGGCAACTATGCAGCCAAGGCAGAGGCTGGAGGCCTTGTTGGGGAGGGGGCTCTGGGTCTTCTCTCCCAGAGCCAAGTCACTGTGGCCCCAACAGCAGAACGCTCGGCCTGTCAGACAGCGGGGAGCCGGGTGAGGGCAGGCTTGTGTGCCTGGGAGAGGAAGGGGCCGCTGCCAGGGCCAGGCCACGGCTCAGGATTTGAGTTCTAAACCCAGCCCTGCTGTGCAGTTCAGGGGTGTCCTGGGTGAAGGGGCCTGTGGGCTTGTTTGGGGCTGCGAGGAGACTCATCCAGCTCTGTGGTCTGTAGAGATGGAGGAAGGAGACCCAGGGATGTGGTGGGAGCAACAGGCAGGAAGACAAATGAGCCTCTCTGGAGGAGGAGGAAGCAAAGGAAGGGGATGAGGACTGCACAGAGGCTATGACGGTGGCCCCAGTCCTTGCTCACCCCCACCAGCAGTTGCTGGGGTCCCCCTGGGCCCACTCTCTCCCCTGAAGCCAACACGAGACCCCAGAGCCAAGGCAGTCACAGCAGGTTTATTGTCGGCCAGAGAGCACCACAGTGCTCCCCCCACCCCATGGACACAGGCAGTGGCCATGAGGGGAATGGATGGGTGGGGGCCAGGAGTGAGGGGGGTGCTGAGGCTCCAGGCTGGTCTCCTGGGCCCCAGGAGCCTGAATCTCATGAGTGGAAGTGTGTTCCCTCCCCACCAGGGCTCAAAGAGCCTCAGCCTCAATTTTCTAGGGGTGTTTCTGCTGGGTCTGTCCTGGGCAGGAGAGGAGGATCCTTGGGAGTCTGGGCTAGTGCAGGGGTGCAAGGGCTGCAGGGAGCAGCCTGGCCTCACAGAGCAGCAGGGGCCCTAAGTCCCCAGGAGACTTCAGGTCGGTGGTAACAGGCCAAAGCCTTGCCCACTCTGGACTTCTGGACCTGCTCACCCCCTCCACCCAGGAGACCCCCAAGCCTGGCACCCTAGTG